GCTCCTTCTCAGTCTCTGGACTCTAGATCCTGAGTTGATGGAGGTGCCTTCCTTGCAGCCTGGACTCTGGTGCCTAAAGAGTGGTGAAGGTTGGGGGTTCAAACACAACTCTGTACTTAGCATTTCCTATTGGCAGCTTCCTGCTCACTACACAGATTTTTGTGATAGTCGTTCAGAGGCACCTAGCTCTTCCCCCTCCCTCCCAGTTTTGTTTATGAAGGTGCCTAATTTTACATTCTACTTTGGGATGCAAAGTTGGCTCTTTGGTACCTAATTAGCAGGCTCTGCTGCTGAAGTTCCAAAGAGCAGCCCAACCGACCCTGAGCTAACAACCACAAAACTTAGTAGGTAACTCCATTTTGAACTGAAAAGTTTTCTAGGTATTTGTATTAGGACTACAGAACATGGTTAGAAGACACAACAACTATGGCTCATTCACACAGACAAGATCGTGAGAGATTCTCCAGAGTCCAGCTGCAAAGCATTTGTATAGGCAGATTGTGTCCTGCTAGGAGTTTTTAAAAACACCCAGAACAGCAAGCAGGAAAGCAGGAATCTAGCTGTGAATGTAACTGGCCGTGTTTAAACATGCTTTTTAGTGCGCAGTAGCCTATTTTACTGCACACTGAAGTCTCACATCAAAAACCATGCTAATACGCCAATGTACAGTAAAAATAGGCTACTGAGCATTAAGCATCACTAAAAAAGCATGTGCCTTCACTACTGTACCTTGCATTAGAGGTACTAAATTTAATGTGCAGTAGCAAAAGCGCATTAATGAACATGTAGATGCGCCCACTGCTTGTTACAAGAAGGGGACCAGAGCCAAGGGCTCCTCTTTGAGTGTCTGGGACAGAGCAGAAGGGTTTGGTTTTGTTTATTTGTTGCCTAAAGACTGTTATTTGAGAGGACTGGAAAAGCCTGCCTGCAGAAGCCAAGAGGGTAGGTAAACTGCTTACAGGCCAGCTGTAAAAATTTGATCCTTACAGAGCTAATTTTTCCTTTATTTAAAACTTGCTATTATTGGTATTTTTAGGTACCTTTAATAACAAGTTACTGATTAAAACAGATTAAAATTCTTTCAAAGAAGTTACTATGACAACATTTATACTACGTTTGTATCAGTCCGACTTCCTACTTGCTTGATTGTTGCAAATTAAGCTGTCTGACTCAGCTCCCTCTATGTAAATCTGTAAATAAATGTCTTCTAATTCTGCAGTTTGATAATCAACTGAATGGTGTTAGTGAATGCGTCTACATGAGACACTAACTGCAGAGTAGCCTAATAACATTGTGCAACAGCATGTCAGGCAGAAACCGTGTTAGTACTCTATTGCGCAGTAGTATTAGGCTAAAAAACCTAAAAACCTGTTTGCTGGTGCTACTGTGCAGTAGCATGAGTTACTGCACATTGGTTTAATGCACAGTAACTACAACGCATTAATGAACATGTAGATGTGCCTAGTGTTGCCTGTAATAGTCCAGGGCTATAAGTGCATTGTTTTCTAAACTTCCAAACTGAAGTAGACTTTTCAGTGCAGCTCTTTATATTTCTTTGCAAATTTTGCCTGGTGCTCTTCTGGTTTCCTGAGGTGATGCTATAAGCAGATGTGCAAGTTAGGATGTGGAGATGGATAATCGGTATCAAGCAATCAGATAATGGGTGTTTAGCCACAAGCAGTATAAGCGCTAATTTGGCATTCAAGTGGGTGCACAAAATGACTAAGATCCATATTGATCTGTTATTTTTTTGGAAACCAAAGTCAGCTCCAACATAATTCACTGCAGTTTGATAAACATTTTGGAGATGATGATATAGACTGCCATTTAGCTTACAGATGATGGTCTCCTTTATTTTACACCAGCCTGGATGAAACAACTACCTTGTATAAATGATACTCATTTTGAGCACCTTACAAAAAAATTATTTTGTGCAATACTTGCTCTCTTTTGCCTGTATCCTGACTAAGTTATACTCAGCGACCATTGTGTTAAAATTCGTATCTGTCTTGACTAGTTAGACCATAGTGTTAGAGCTACTACTGCTGCATTTTACCATATGTGGGGCTGCTTTGTTAATTTAGTTCAGTGCTACTAAACCTCCAGGCAGCAGGACGAATTTGACTCATGGAACCAGGCCACAGGGCTTCCCAGAGGTCCAAAAATTCAGGGTCTGAACATTTTGGCAGCTGGGAAATGCAGCTACTAGAGCTGTGACAATGAACGCTGTTGCTGCTCCCCCACTACCAAATTTCTGGACCTGTGGGGAGGAGTCCCATGGGCTGGATGATACAGCCCTGTGTGCTAGATTGTGCTGGCATGTGAAGTTAGGCTGCAGCCTAATCCAGCATACAGGGCCAAGGTGGCAAGTGTAGCTGCTCTGTGGCTGGATCTGGTACAGAAGGTTGGCTTGGCTCACCAGATTACACCCAGGGACTGACACTGTGTGCTGACTCCCTCCTGGATCTGGCCTGCAGACTGACCCGGCCTATAAGAACCAGCCTGTGGACCAGCCCTCTGCTACACACCTGACCCGCAAGACCAAAAGTTTGAGCACCACTGATTTAGTTTATCAGTTAGTTTGCTAGTTTATTATTATGGTGTACTACCATGTGCTTACCTACTGTTTACTTCTGTAAAATGGATGCAACTCCATTGCTGCAAGTGGTAGTGGACCTATTTACACCACAGCTGAATCTGGCCTGCCATAATTAGCTAGCACATGGCTTCTGGCTATTGACATAACTGGAGGTTTTTCAGAAGGTTATACAATAGCAGGCCAGATTCCAAAACATTTATCAAACTGCACCGAATTATGTTGGAGCTGACTTCGGTTTCCAAAAAAAATAACAGATCAGTATGGATCTTGGTCATTTTGTGCACCCACTTGAATGCCAAATTGGTGCTTATACTGCTTGCAGCTAAACACCCATTATCTGATTGCTTGACTATCATCCTTAGTGTGGTCTTCCTCAAGAAACCATTCCAAGAACCAGAGTAAGCAGCTAAGGTCACACCTGAAATCTGGAGGCCTCTGTAGAATTTATAGTTTCACTCTATTCTAGCCATTTGTTTTTCTTTTTAATTAATATTCAGTGAAAGAGCTTTCAATCAAAATCTTGAAATAGTTCTCCAGCATTTAAACCTTGAAGTGTTTATCATCAATTAATTGCAACAGTTAAGAAAAAATGGTAAATTATAAATGGAAATGCATCCATAGCATTAGACTTTATGGCAATTAAACCGCAAAGAGACTTCTTTCTAGTGTTTTCCAGTAAGATTATTAATAATGTTCCGCAGTATATTTACAGTAATACAATTATAATGTCCGCCTTGCTAGTGTGGTGTTATGTTTCAAAACTTCATTTTCAACCGATCATACTTTCAATAAAAATGATTTATATTGGCAGAGGCTACCAATATTAATGTATTCCCATCAATGGTATTAACCTGAGAATAATTTCTTATATGCAAAATGTTACTGAATATAGTTAATTTTTTTTGAGTTACAAGAGTGTAATAAATAAGCGCTTAGTTTTTTATATGTAAAAAAAAATCATTATAGTACTGAATTTGTAGTACTATTAGCCTCTATTAAAGACAAATACCTTATTTATTTAAACGTATATACATATATTTAAATATCCCATGGCTTATCAAAAGTTCGCTATTGTTGTAACAAGCTACTGCATGACTAAATTTACTTCTGCCAAAGGCTGTCAATATAAAAATTACACCCATGTATTCCATCTTGGCAGCTATTCTAAAAATATTGTATCTGCACTGAACATTTATGTAAATGATGAATCATAATACTGGCAAAAATACCAGTAATACTCTATAGTAGCATATCACATCATCCTACAAAAGAATAAAAGGTATTACTGTGTTAATAGAATGCTTTGGTTTTCAAAACTGAATAAGGATTTTAAAGGCTCGGGCTCTCAAATAAATAAATTGGGGTTTTATTGAGTATGCATATGTAAGGTGAGCAGGAGTGAGCTGGAATCATTAACAATTTTATCCAATGCTGCAAACATTTATTTTTAGGTATAACATGTATTATGCTTACTATCCTGAGTAGTCCCACTAGAAATCTAATGAGTGAAATTCTGACACCATTGATACAGATGGCATAAATTCTGTTTGCTTCAGCGAGGCTAAGGTGTCCTCCAATATCTAAGGGCAAGTGTTTGAAGACAGCATAATCTGGAGGAATCAGTAGAGTTAGGAGTCAGAGAAAATTATGCATGCTGTCATCTTGTTTTATGGTATTAGGCAAATTGCATCACTGTTTGGTCTCAGTTTTCCTATCTGTAAAAAGGTATACTTGATACCTACCCATGTACTACAGAACAGGGACTGGAAGAATTAATTTCTGTTAATGTGTGCAGGTTGCTTTGAAAATATTAATATAGAAATGCTAAGTATAAGCATTATTTTTAGGACTAGGCCAATCATTTGGAATTTCCTGGTTCTTCACCTCTAACTAGATCCTTGCAAAACTTCAAGAAACAATTCCAAGAGGTACACGATCAATTTGCTTTTCCAGCTTCTCTCTGAAGGCAGGGACTGCCCCAGACTTCATTCAGCGTAACTGTTTTAACCTGCACGTGTTGCCTGGGGTCCCTCTGTCTCCTGAAACAGAAATGTCTTTCTGTTCCGACATCAAGAAACTAAAAAAGGTCAGGGAGACTACAGCTCGGGCATAAGCACAGTCAGCTGGAAAAAAAACTTCAGGGCATCTCAGTGCACAGAGGGCGGGGACTGATCGCTGTGTGGAATTACTGAAAGCCAATAAACAAATAAAATAATAGCTCCGACCCTTGAAGGTGCAGGAGCCGTGGGACCGCCGCAGCGCTGCTCCTTCCCCCGCAAAGCGGGTCCTTGTCTCCAAGGTGCGTTAAAAAAAGGAAGAATCGGGCAGTGAGGGAAGGGGGGGAAGAGTTTTACACTGATCAAATAGTAACGAGCGTCATCAGAGCATGAAAATAGTTTACCTTTATTACCACCACTTCTCTCTAACCGCCTCAGACGCTACTTCTGCAGCAGGCAGCTCCCGAGTTACGAAGCGGGGGCCGCGCTGCCTCTGCCTGGCGCTGGGAGGTGCGGCCCCGGCTCTGTCCCCGCCCCCGGGAAGGGCCGCAGCTCGGGGTCATGGAGCCCGGCCGGAGCCGCGGTGCTGCGCGTTACCCACTGGCGGGGCAGCCGCGTACACACCCAGCCCCGCCTGCTCCTCGCGGTGCCCCGGGTGGGCAAGAGCCTGCTTTCTTCCGCGCTTGCACGCCTTCCCCCGCATTACGCGCGGGGCTGGAGCACGCCCAGACCACACCCCACTACCGCGACCGGACAGTCCTGCCCCGAGCAGGACAGTTCCATTGCGAGTCACCCCCCCCCCCCGGGCGGTGGTACAGTCCGGGTGGGAACGGCGCTGCGCATGCGCGCGGGAGCTGCAGCCTGTGTCGCGTTCCGGCAGGCAGCGCCGCCTCCCGCCGCTCCGGCCCGGCTGTTGGATTCGCGCCGCCCCTCCCGCCATGGCAGACCCGCGCCTCAGGCAGATCAAGATCAAGACGGGCGTTGTGAAGCGGTGAGTGCGGGCGCCGCTCTCCGACCCCTGCCGCCTGCGGTGGGGCTCAGCAGGCCCGGCCAGTCTCAGCCGCCGGGAACCCCCGCCCCACCGGCCCCGGAGCTGCTGGAAGTTTCGCGGGCGCGAGCCGCCGGCCCGGCCTCCCCTCCCCTTCCCTTCCCTCTACGGCCCAGACTGTTAGTAGTTTTGGGGCCTGCCCTGTCCCGGCCCGAGGAGGCGCCTGGTGGGGGCCGGACACGGGTGTGACGGAGTGGGCTCAGAGGCAGGGTCGGGCCGGGCTGGCTGCGGTCCGTGTCGTCGAGTGACGCAGAGGTGAGTGCGCTGCACAGGGAGAAAACACGCGCGGATCCGACACGAGGCAAGTCGCCGAACTCGGCTTTGAGACCCAAGAATGAACGTTATGTGTTAGTGCTGGCACTTCACCCGTTTGCTGACTGCTGAATCATCCCAGTGTCCCAGGTCGGGAAGGTCGGCTGGGTGTGCAGTCACTAACCTGTCGTGCCTCACCGCACTGAGCGCTGATGTGCCTCACTCCCGTGATCTGGTCGAGCTGGGATGTTGCACGCTCCGTCTGGGGTGACTGCATTGACTTAATTCAGCAGAGACAGAGTGGCTGGCCTCTGTGCTAGGGTTGAGGCCTTTAAGAGTCCAGGGTTATTGTCAGTAGTCCCAGGAAAGTGGGTGAGACAGGTAGGTAGCTGTGCTGGTTAAAGTCAGGCAGGGCAGGATAGTGCTTTTGGCCAGTCATAAATTTCATGATTTTCCAGGTTTAATCCAGACTTCAGCTGTCACTGTATATCCATGGACATCTCTAGTCCAAATTAACTGTTTTTCATTGAATTGGGATTAAAGGTAATGCAGACTAGAGCAGTCTGAAGTAGGCAATTTAAACTGTAGTAATTAACATGTATATATGGTGTTGCTTTTAGAAAAAAACAGCAACTCAGATAAACGTTTGTTCCTTGGGAATGTAGGTTAGCATTGCCAACAGGGTTTTTGCAACATAACCAAGGCTGTCCTTCCCCACCCCCCATAGCCTTTACAAAGTCAAATGTAAAACACCTTTACAAAGTCAAACCTGACAACAGCACCTCACCAGTGACTAAGTATCAGTATCCTGACTAAGCCCCCCAGCTCTGCCCAAGTGTGTGGGCTACAGGTCTGTGAAGAAGGGGGCAACCCCCTTGATTGTATATTAACCCTTAATTTGAATTGAAATTTGATTGGCCCTGTGGGACGTAAATCAGTTAACATGGTTTGGAAAATGGTGAGCACATTTACAAATGGCCTTAGATTGTTTCAAAGAGGCAAGCTTTCATGGGCAACAGGCTACTTTGTCAGATGCTGTGATGGAAGATTTGTAGTATCTAATGAAGTAGGCTACAAAATCTCACACCACCCTGAACTGGTTAGTCTCTCAGATGCTGGCCTTCCTTGCCAGAAAAATCAATGAGAAGCTACTAACAATAGCAAGGACAGTGATTTTTAGCATTCCCTGGTTTGGGCTTTAATAATGAAGAAATAGAATAGGCAAAATTTTGTATTAAAAAGCTTTCCATCCTTCATGATTTTGTGGTTTAAATTCAAAACAGTGAGCAACTATGTATGGGGTTTGGTGCTTTACTTGACTATCCAATCTTAAGGTATAGCTGGATGCAGCATAACTATCTTAAGAGTTAGGGAATATAGTTATGGTTTAGGTGATGCGTGAGCTGAACTGATGCAATGTTTCTATCGGTTCCTGTATCAGTATAGTGAAAGCTAAATTGGTTTAAAAATACACCAATTTAAGCTCTAGCTATACTGGGACAAGGTATGCTGGACTTGCAACAGATCACCGATGGAGTGCTTTAATTTTGAAGTGCTTTATTTCTGTATTTGTTTATTTGATTTATATGCTGCCCCTCTCAGCTAAGGCTCAGGGTGATATGCAGTGAGAAAACAGAACAGCTCTAGCTTTTCATGTTTATACTCGTGCACTCTTTTGCATTTGAGCACAGTAAATTATGAACTTTACACATGCATAACTTTCTCTTAAATCTGTTTTTATGGTTTGACGACTCTAGTGTCAGTCATAACAACAGTACAAAGTACTGTGTATGTATATCCTGAATTGGGGTTGTTATGGATTGGAACATTTGGTGCAAGAGTTACAGTCAGAAACATCTTAATAGTGGGAAATAAGGACTGTGCCTAGGTTGAATTTTCAGATTTCAGGCACTTTCAGAAGACAAAGCATTCTATTATTTCTTGTGTCTCTAAAAACTCCTCTGAATCCTTAGGCCTTAAAAAAAAAAACTTTACAGAATCTTATAATAAATGATTACACTTTAATATTTTGCAGAAGCTTCTCAAGTGAAACTTGCTAGTGTCTTGTATTTTACTGGACACACTGTAGCTTTGAGAGAACAGTAACAGTTATCAAACTGATAGTACTTCAGATGTTCACTGTTTTATAGACACTAGCTAATTTTCACAACAGTTATTTGAAGTGTAGCTAATTGTTACCTCCTTTTTTACCCAGTAGGAAATTGAAATGTGGCTCTCTCGAGAACACAGGGACTGTCTGTAAAAGATAAGATTATAATTCTGGAGTGTTAATTCTCAGTCCAGGGCCTAAACCATTAGACAGCATTGTTTATTGTTAATAGCGTGCCTGTTGCACAAGCATCTTGTGACTTTCAGTTAATCTCTGTAACTGCATGGAGGTCTTTTATTTTTTATTACAAATGGGGTTTGTTTGGTAATATTGCTTACTAGATTATGTAGTTGGAAGAAATGTTAGGCAAACTTTCAGGCACAAGATGCCCTTTCTCTTGTCTGGAGAAGAAACAGATATAGTTTAATAAACTAACACCAGGTAAAGCAGTGACTTTGTTCTGTTTAGCTCCATAATGTAAATGAGAGGTGTCAGGTGCCATCCAGCCTGTAAGAAGCCCCATGGACCAGATAATCAACCTCCAAAGACTGGATCCAGCCTCTGGGCCATGTGCTTGACATCCCTAATGTAAATGGAAATAGCCACTTTAAAGAAGGGGAAGAGAGCAGTAAACCTGGGCATCAAAGAAAAGTTATCAGAAGTAACCAGTAAAGGGCAGTTAAATTAGCTACAAAATGTTTCTTGTTTTGATTGATCCCTTTTGAAGGAGGTAGTTTCTGATGCTTTCTAGCATAGTTGTGTAGTAGGGCTGTGTGAAACACCTGTGTTTCGATTCGGTTTCGGATTTGGCTGTTTCGGAGGGACAGCTTTCAGTTTTGATTCGGCCAAATGTGTTTTGGAGTTTTGACACTGTTTCAGTGATTCGGCCATAGGCTATAATGGGCAGTCACTAAAATGCCTATAACTTTGTTATTTCTTGCCTGATTTGGATGAAAATTGCAGGGATGAAGGATAAAGCCTGCTGAGTTTCAAGGAGATAGATGCAGGGGCTTCTGTGAAACTGCATCTCAAACTGTTCAAAGCAAAACTCTTATCACTTGCCAGCAATGGCAGCATGCGGACATCCTGCATGCTGTGGGGCTGTGCCAGACTCATCCCGCAGGGCACGGGCCCCCAGATCTGCAGACGGGATGACAGCAGGCTGCTCTCTCTCCTGCAGAGCACTGGGACTGGAAGGGACCTCAGGGACAGATTGCAGACAGTGGCCAGCTACAGATGTCAATATCAGAGAAGTCCTTTCCTCCCACTCTCCCCTCCCTCCTTTTAGTTTCTGTTTCACTGAAAGCCTGGCTCCAAAACTCTGAAATTTTCTGAAAGGTTTTGGATGTTTTGGAGCCTTCCATTTAATTGTGGATTCAGTGCTTTGGGTGCTGAAATGGGCCGAAACAGCTCCGAAACAAAATGTCTGCCGAAGTTTTGCACAGCCCTATTGTGTGGCATATTTAGAGGTATATGTTGCCTTTGCAACCTTCTGACTTAGTCTCCAGGTGACGTTATGTTTCTTGCATCAGCACTGGAAGTAGATACCACTTTTGTAACCTACCATTTTTCCTTCATGTTTAAGATATTCTATTTTAGACTGTGAATTTTATTAACAGGACTATTTGGGGTTGGGGGGGTGTTTTTGGTGGGTTGTTTGTTTTTGTTTTTTTTTAATTGCTCTGTACCTGGAAGCCTCTTGGGCATTGCTTTGTGAAGAAAAAGCTTGTCATCTCCTCCTTCCCCTATCCCTCCAGGGGAGGACTTTGAATCAGTAAGCTGTTTGAGGACTAAGAGTATTCTAGTTTGATGCAGAGTTCCCCAGGAAGAATGGATAGCAATTGGGAGAGTATGGGAACTGGATCCTCCTCCTCTGACAAATTATGAATAGGGACCTACCCAAACAGAGGTGGCAGAGGGGCAACTCTGCAGGCCAGTTGTGTCATTGGCCCCCCATTTTTTGCAAGCTTATCATGGTGGGCCCCCCCTGCCTCTGATTGACGGGGGCGCTGCCTTTTGCATGGCCCCATGCATTGCTGCTGATTGGCCAAGAGGGGCAGAGGTGCATGAAAGGCAACCCTCAGCCAATCGGTGGCAGAGGGAGTGGCTGTCATCTTAGCTGCTACCTTTCATGCTGGTGGCTCCCCCATCCTCTTCTCCCAGCAGGCTGTGATACTTAGCCCATAACAGCTGCTGGCCCTGGTGATTCCCTGCAAAATAGTGAAAACCAACATTTTTCATGATGTTCTCAAAAATCACAATTTGAGTAGGTCCCTAATTATGAACTTTACATGTGCGTATCTCTGTTTCTCTTAAGGTTCCTATATCCCAAGTTACATATGCAACTAGATTTTGACCTGGCTAATAAAACAAGAACTATAGGTCCTATAAAACAAGATAGCAGGTAGATATAATGCCCAGAGGTTTTGTTGTTGTTGTTGTTTTAAAAAGCATTGTTGGTTGTTCTTGCTGAACTGGGAGCCCTTACTGATTTAAGGCAAAGTCTCTTGTTTGGCATGGTATTGTTTAGCATTTAATTAAGATCAGCTCTAAAAGTTCCAATGTGAATGAACTGATATTT